AGATGAAACAAAAAATATAAAACAAAAAATATCTTTGAACTTTAAAAACTCCCATTTCTCGAGATTATTATTATTTTTAAACACATGCTAGTTAATATTAAAAAAAAAAATAATGTTACAAAATTAAAAAATTACAATTCTATGTTTATATATTTTCAATTGCTCATTCAATTCGCAATATAAATGTTTTATAGAATATTATTAAAAGATCATCCATTTAGATGAGAAAATAAACGGCAATCCAATAAGAACATTCCATTAAGATATGTGTGTACATAAGTGATAAAAATAAAATATATTATAGTCTTTCCTATAATAAAAATTAGAATTGTCTCAAGAATATGAAAATATAATAGGTATATAAAATAAGAAATACCTATTACCTACTTAAAAAATATTATATATTATGTAGAAATATGTAAAAGACTTCTCTCTCGATATCCAATATCGGCTATATATCATTCGGTTTGCCCTGCATGCGATAGATTTGTTTATGCATGGGAATGTGAACTAGTTTGTTCTGGAAGCTCCAATCGATGTCAAAGTCCAGGTGACGTAGGGCGCGTTTCACCTGGAATTGGCCCTTCACAGAATCTCGAATGCAGAGCGGCAGATGGGCGTCGATGTGGAAGAGCGTCTGCTTCCATTGGGTGGGCGGGGCATTCGGGCTCGTGGTGATTGGCTTCAGCTTGGGGAACTGAAAGTCAAAGTAGAGCAGAAACCATTTGGCCAGGGACTGGCGCAAGCTGAACAGCCGGAAGGGCACAGTGAAGCTCAGCTCGTGGAGGCTGAGCGTGCTCAGGTCGAAGCGGCGCAGCAGCTGCCGTTGGGTGAGCACCTGGGTGGCGTCCAGGCAATCGATGACAGGTGTTTGCTGGACGATGCGCCAGGCCAGATGCAAATCCAGGCCGGAGTAACGGGTCCAATAGTCTGACATAGATGGCTGCTTCTCGGGTTGCTCGGCTATGGCCATATAGAGATTGGCCAGCTGCGGGAAGATGCGGCCGCCCGGCTTGAGCCACTTGTCCCGGGCATAGATCACAGCCTCCAGGGTGGAGCTGTACATCAGACAGGCGCTGGAAGTAGAGGAAGGAAGGTGTAGAGTAGCCTACCCGCTGGACATGGGCTTACCCCATCCACTTGGAGACGATGATGTCGACGGGGGGCAGCTGCAGCTGCTGCACATTTCCCTGGATCACCTCGATCACGTGCTCCAACCGATTGTGGCGCACCAGCTGACGCGCCACTTGGCAGACGGCGCTCGACTCCACGGCAATGACCTTGGCCGCGCCCTGCTGGGCTGCCCACAGGGAGAGACAGCCACTGCCGCAGCCCACCTCGAGCACCGTGGCCTGACGAAAGAGCTCCGCGTTGGCTTCGATGGCCGCCTTGAAGCCCAGCATGGTCACCTCGTCGCGCAGGATACCCTCGTGCCCTTGCAGAAACTCTGCATAGGTCGTCGCAGAGATTTCCTCTACTGCAAGTTTTCCATTGCCATCTGTTAGCATATTCGCATTCAAAATTCCAGAAATTGCATTTCAATTGAACATCCGTGTTGAAAGCGTTGCCAGATTGTTGTGCATTTTACATGCAGAATGGACACACATACTAAACACATCGTTAGCTAAACACAACACAAGCAACTGCTCGAAGAGAGAAAAGAGAATAATTGAGCACAATTCTAACGGAATTTGCTTATGGGCATATGAGCGAAAATCCGAGTTTACAGTGGCTGTGCAAAAACCTCGTCGACGTGAGAAAAAAATATATATAATTAAAGCCATATCAAACTTACATACTCATACATTTATTTGCAAGTGAAACTTCATATACAATTTTATATTGGCAAAAGTTCTTTATTGACACACTGTACATAGGACAAGCATAGAATAACTTTTTTCAGCACAAGAAACTGAGCGAGAGGCATCGCATTCACAATCGGCTGCTCGCATCGGATGCTCTCGTTCTGCCAGCAAGGAAGAGGGAGAAGGCGTAAGCTCAGCTCGGCAGGTAGAGGGCGCTCGCTTTTGTAACTTTGCTATTGTTTTCAATCCTACTCTCAATTTCGCTCTCTCGAATAATGCATATACATATGTAAGTGTGGGTGTGTGTACGTTCAATGCCTTACATTTTCGTCTGCATCTTACTCGTTTTGTGTTTTGTTGCTCAAGATTTCAACTCGCCCATATAAGAAGATCGCTTAAAGGGTATCTAAGCGTAGATGCGATTGGTAATTTTTCTGTGTTGGGGCCTTGTCACAGAGGATAAGTACATATGTATGCATATAAATAAATGTGTGTATGCTTTTATGTATGCGTGCTGCGGGACTGCTGTAACTGTAAAAACATTGCGACTTTTGTTGTTGTTTCTGGTTAGTGACGGTGTGTCATATTGCGTGAGCAACTGAGTATAATATAAGCTAAACAGTTATTGCGTTTATCATACACTAAAAAATTTTTATTTAAATTTTGTGTTGGTTCTCTCTGTAAAAATATGAAACTACAAATTTTGTTAGATAGTCCGAATGTACTACTACTACTACTAAGCATCTTCGCAGGCATCTGGCGGCGTTTCCTTCAGTATACCCCGCTTGCGCAGCTTACGAAGCACATCGTGCACGGCCCCAAAACGATTCATCGTATAGAACTGAATGCCATACACGTCTAGCTTGGCGTCCAACACCTTTAGAATGGTACTTAATGCCAAGTGGACAAAGAATTTGCGCACCTTGACGTCGTCTTTCTCGATTTTTTCTAGCTTGGCGAGTTTTTCCGCTGGCAGCTTGATTTTCGTGATCTTTTCCATTAGCTTGTAGGCTTCCAAAGATTCGGGCACCACCACGCCCACCATTATGGGCGTTACGATGCCGGCGTCGCGAGCGGCTTGAACATACTTGATTATCAGCTCTGCCGAGTAGCACATCTGAGTGATTATAAAATCCGCTCCCTTATCAACCTGTAAAAGTGAAGAGTGAGAAGACGAATGCTGATAAGAGAGCTACGCTGATAAGACATACTACTGAATGAGGTTAACGGAATCAAAACAAAACAGATCGTTTGGGCAATGGGGTGACTAGAAAATACCCTGTAGTTTGTTTCAGACTTGATAAAGATTAATGTAAAGGAGCAACATCAATCAAATCTAGCAAAATACCTAGTTATTCTAGACTCAAAAACAAATATATGTTCTTATTATCCTCGATAAATTGGTCATTCTAAGGGCCAAATGCGACGCCTTTGATTCTATAGAAAAGTCAAAATAAGAGCAGAGTAGTTCAAAGTTGGGGAATATATCGAGCTGGCAAGCCTTTCTAAACTTGAAGAAGTTCATTAATATATTACATGTTCTGTGATATAACCAGAAATGGGGTATTCTGGCTCCATGCATAAGCTACAGGGTAACTCAAGACTCATACCTTTCTTTCAGTTAACACTTACCTTCATCTTTAAGAACGCTATGTTTTGATCCATATCTATTTTTCCTTTATCCAAGCTCACATGGCCCTGCGGATAACCAGGAACGGCAATTGATATATGTTCTGCCAGAGAAGAGAGTAAACGCCTCAGAAATGAAGAGAGTGGGAGAGAGAAAGAGAAGTGTGTGAAGTAGATCAAAATACTCACCCTTGCGGACACGTCGGGCATGCTCGATCAGCTGATACCCATAGAGATAGAATTGGTTGTCGTCCCGCTTGTCGCCTCTGACTGCCAGCAGATTCTTAAAGTTTAGGGAGAGAAATTCGTTGATGCGCTTCTTGGTCTGTTTGTAGACGCTGAAGTGGGGCATGGCCGGTATGTAGGGCTCCAGGTGTCGTATCATCTGCAGCGTTTCCACCCGCTCCAGGGGCGTTACGTTCCAATAGTGCGGCAGCCACACGATGCTGATGAAGCTGGGCAAGATGGGCAGAAAACTGTTGAAGTCCACGCAGGTGAGCTTGCCGTTGCTCTGGGCGGTTATCTCAATGCCATAGAAGAACTCGCGCCGCTCCACCTTGCTCAGCACCACATCCGACACATACGGCTGCTCCCCGGAGTTCGCCACCTGCTCAGGTGTATACCGAAAGCAGGGCTCAATCAGGCCCTGTGACGCATCGCCAGCAAAGCTGTGCATCGCATTTGCGTCCAAGCTATGCATGCTTACTCGCTCAGTTCGCTTTGTCAACTGATTACGTTTATTGAGCCGATAGACGCGATTCTGGACGGCGAATGGCGTTACGTTCCGGAGCAGCGGCGGCAGCAGCGCTGCGTTACGGTTTCGGCTCATCGCGAGTGCCCGTAGCCCCCCTTCTCTGCACGAATATCACGTACTCCTCTTGCACCTACGCTGAATCGTATACATCTTATCGTACTTCTCAACTTGTTTTTCAATGTGTACTGTGGTTTGAACTCGAGACGTAAAGGGGATTTCTATTTCACTCCATTGAGATGTCACAAAGTATTGCATCGTGAAATTAGCATTATATGCATTTACATACCCTGAAGTTGACGGTATAATTGTTGGGCTGAAATGAATGTAGTAGGCAGGAAAAGGCAATTATATATATTTATATTATATTCTTAATCAACAAATGATCGATTTTCCCTCATCTTTCCGTGTGTCTTTCCTTTCTTGGGAATTTCTTATCAACTTTTTATCCATAAGGAAAAGAATGAGATGATAAACCTTGATAGATATAGCATTATTCTCTTAGACTATTTAAAAATTCGAAATAATTTTTACATTTATCAGTAGGTTTTATACTGTAAAATTGATCTTAGAAATTAAAAATTATTTTTCACAGTAATCTGAGATTTTAGATTGTAATAGATTATATCATTATTTATTATTTTCCTATTAAACAGTGAGTATGTAATCGAAATTATTGTTTCTTTTATAGGAACATTTCGATCTGAATAAATCAATTGTATGCGGCATTTAATGTGCTTTAAGTGTGAGGTTATGTTCACATTGAAGAGCAGCACTTCAGCATGAATTTCTAAAAAGTTTCTGCTTTCATCTAATTTGAGGCTGTGGTGCATCGATTACAAATGAGATGTTTCATTAAAAACCATTTTCAAGTAGTTTGCTGCAATTGGGCCAAGACGCGATGCAACAAATCATAACAAACGAAGTCTCTATTCATATTCAGTATTTGAGTTTTACGATAATTTTCCATTTTCAATTTTCCAATTTTCCATTTCGTTGTAGCTGTTGTTGGCGACTGGGGCAAAATGATTTGATGGCGTTAATTACATAAATGCAGTCCATTTAGATTAGAGAGCGAGTGAGACGCGCAGGCAAATCAATTGAGAGGCAACGAGGCTGGGGCATGTGGCAGGCAGATTTAATTGCTCTTCGCAAACGTCCACTTGAAAACATTTGCAGCAAACATTGCCGATGCGATGTCGATGCCGATGCCGATACGAGTTGAGTTTGGGAAGTCGAGCCACTTGGGTTACGCTCCAGAGCCATAATCATAATTTAAATGCCGCTGGCAACACTCAAGAGCCATAAAAAACCAGAAAAAAAAGAAAAAGAAACATGCAGATCGCAGAGCCTGGCCAAAAATACTAAAATAAACAAGCAAGACTCTGGCAGTCGGGCGTTACCGACTGAAGAGTACTCATTCACAGCCCAAACTCTGCCAGATCGGATTTTTTTTTTCGATTTGTCAAGCTTCCAATGGTCATATTTATATTATTTTTTGTACAAATCAATAGGGAATGATAACTATAGTTATTAGCTTTTGACACCCTCAATAGACGTAGCCATATATATACATAGATTTACGACTGTTATAATCGGGTTATATAGTAAAAATTTATATTATATTCATATATTCAAGTCTCTAGCATTTCAAGTGCATTAGTTTCAGAGATACCAGTAATAATACATTTCCGATTCGCCGCGCCCATTATATGCTGCAGTAGCACCGAAATGGTTTCTATTCGTATGGAAGGACAAACGGACGAACATTTTACGAAGCCAATATACTCATTTCACTTTGGTGAAGGTGCACAAAAAGAAAACATGGAAACTTTAATAAAAATCAGAAGACAGCCAAGAGTCGCTCCCTCCCTCTCCCTCTCTCGCGCTCTCCATCTCGCTCCCTCTGTCCCGACGGGCGTCAAGTAGCAATTAAAGATTCGTTTTAGTGCCTCGACTCCGCCTCGAAATTGTGTGTTCCAAATGTCTGCACTTAGGCAGCAACAGCCCGTTGCCTCCATATGGGATATATATTCCAATATATATACTTGTATCTACATATACCTTCATAACGATTTGTTACCTGTTCAAATGTGCTATACGCACAGCGTTGATATATGGCCTTTTGTGCAGATCTCTTGTATTTATGGCCAGCATAAATCATTTGAACGGTCCAATTGGCCAATTCGACTAACTACTCGAATTACTACGTTGGCAACTGGACATTATCTTTAGCCAGAGCTTAAACTGAGCTTAAATCTCTGCAACTAATTTAGATAGCTTTGATCTGGCTTAAAAATTGTTGTTGCGTTTTATTTTATTTTATTATTTTACGAGTTTTTAGTTTTATTTTAAAGTTTCTTAATTTAGCAATGAATAAACATTATAGATTTTGTTTTTCAATTTTGAATTATTATTTTGCCATGATTCAGTATTTTTTATAGCAAAGAAATTATAGGCTTTTCTGTATAAATCTATCTTAAAACCTAAAACTTTAAGCATTATTCAGTTACAACCTTTAAAATAAAGTCTATGAGCATATTATTAATCAATGACTACTATCAATTAATTAGTGAACAGCATCAGTCATATAGCAAATGCTAGGGACAACTTGAAATGACTTCATAATGTACGTAGACTTATGCGAGCTAGTGTATAAATACAAATGTGAACTGAACAGTCTTTACAAGCACAGACATGTTGACGGCTCAAGTGTTCTCTAGAGTCTGGAGTTTGTTTTCGACCTCAGGAGATTCCTGCAGAGACGTTCTCGCCCCTTTGGTAAATCGTGCATGCTTAAACACGCTAGCTTGTCCAATTGATCCTGACTTTGCTTATGTTTATAAGAACCGTCCACATGTTCATGGTTGAGCAGTCTTAATATGTGCATACATATGTAATTATATATTCTTTGTATGTATGTACATAAATCATGTCTTCCTTTCGACTCTAAGCAGAGGAAGTTCAGCTTATGTAAAGAAAATAATGCCGATATCCCATATCTTATAGTATTATTATTATATATTAGAATAGTTAAGTATACATATTTGTATAACTATAAAACTAGTGTATCTTATATTAGTATTGCTATATCTTAAGTTGACTTTACTAATGGGTATTGTCTGTAATAATACCTATAATATTGATTAAGAATATAAAACCAGTATAAATTTTTTGTTTTTTTTTTTTTATTTTCATTTCTTTAATCTTTTATCTCTATTCTGAATTAAATTTCCTTTATATTAGATTTTTATGTATGATAAATTAAGATATTATTATTATTTTTTTATGATTTGCCCACTTGAAATCTAAATCAGATTGCCACATCGAGTGGCATTCCTGGGAGTCTATAATGTTAGGCATTTCAATTAGTTTTTGTTGACTATGAAAATGTTAATGTATGCGCAGCTTGTTGCATATAGATTTTCCTTTCTCTCTCTCACTCTATATATATGTACATGTATTGGTTGGCTTCACAGTTTTTACGTCGAGCCGTTTTCGTGACGACTTTACGACTTTTAATGGTTCCGACGTTAATAAAAATATTTTGTTATTTGTGATAATTTCAGTGATATAAAATTGTTTATGATTATTAGTATTCGCTTAGGCAAACACACACACGCAGAGGGTGCATGGCGAGGGGAACTACATAGGTCTAGACGACCGAGAGGGACCTGCTCGACCAACCGATCCCAAAAACCAAAAAAAAAAAAAAAAAAAAAACGCTGGCGACATTGAGAAAGTGGGCACTAAATCAGCTGCGGAGTTGCCTAATTACAAATTTGATGCAGCTGCAGGCAGACAGAAGTTTTGGGCTTCAACCGGACCTTGAAATATATATATAGTAAGAGAGAGAGAGAGGGATTTATATATGTATGTATGAGTATATTTTAGGCCTATATTAAAATTTGTTTCGGTTAAAGTGCGGCACATGTGGCACAGTTGCTACCCTAAGGATGTCTTGCCATAGCCTCAACACACACACACACATATATATATATATCCAGACATGATCGGAAATACGTTGCATGGAACCTGTTTAAACAGATTTTTCGTTTCATTTCGTTTCGTCTTAGAGACATGATTCTAAAATTAACCAAAGGCGTCGCCTGTGTGGGGTGCACACTGTAGATCGGATCGTGTCATATTGGTCTCTAATAGCACACAAATAAACAGCAGCATAAAAACCATCTGAAATGCGTTTTTCCCTCGTTGTCGTAATTTATGAATTTATGTGCATCCAATATTAAAACAATTGAAAGGAACCAGCGCGTAAACAAAGAAGTGAGAATAGCTCACAAGACTTGGGTGTATTTAGGGCTATCCTTATGTGTGTATGGACAACACAGGTGTTGCCTGCTTCAAGGACAATAAACTCTGTATGTAATACAAAAGGAAATACTAGGAGCATAAGTAGAGGAGATCTGGAATGCGAAAGTATAGTCTGTATAGATAATATTATTTGCTGTTATTAATCAGATCAACTGCTTAGAGAAAATATATTTGTAGTAGTCATAAGAATATAGCGGATGGGTGTAGCCAATTTCTCATTAGTAGCTCACGGTAAAAATAAAACAGATAAAAATCAATATGATCTCTTTTGGAACATCCCAAATAACATTTCATTTATAGGTCTATTTGTGGAGCAGTCGATTCTGTTAAAATTTGACTTTTGTTTTTAAATTCTATACAAAAGTTTGCCAGTTAGAGTGGATATCTCAAGAGAGAGTTACTACAGTTATTTGTTTATCAAATTCTGTTGGCTTAGCTGGAACTATAGCTGGATTTGCTACACCTCGTATTATCCCGAATTATATTATATTATATTATATTATATTATATTATCCCATTCCTAATTTATAATCTAAAGCAGTAGACATAGTATGCCCGATATCAAGATTATCCCCAAGTATCAAGATTATCAAGAAGTAAGAGTTGCGAATTTCCAGTCCTAGCTTAAGCATCAGTGAATTTGTGCTTCTTCTGAGAGCAAGACGGGAAAAGCCAATATACCCTTCTTATTTTTGAAAATGAGTATATACAAAAATATTTTATTAATTACATACTATACCCAATTCGTTATGCCAAACAAAATTATAACACGACAGTACCAAGGAGTAGGAGCTATCAATTTCATGCATCTAAC